ATGACGTTTTAGAAGGCAAATGATTCAGTAAATCAACTGAAAAATCTAAATATGATAGTATTCACGAGAAGTAAATTAATAGGTACGTATTATTTTGATGTAGGCTACTTATATTGACAAATATAAGTAGTATGTAAAACCACTCAGAAGTGGAATGTCTGGCAGTAGGAGATTGAACTGAACAGAGTAGCGATGTAAACAGAGCGCAATTGTAAAAACAATAGAGTTTAAAGCGTTATGAAGCAATATTGAGGACAATGGAAGGAAGATGTGCGAATAATGTATTTAATGTATGGTTTTCATATTTTATGAAAGTACTGAGTAATGTTGGATACAAAAACAAATTGGTTATGCCTACCGAGTTCCCGTTCATTACAATATCACCAGAATTTATCAAATAACAAAAAATCTCAATGCGGTGTTTTATAATTTAAAACGATCATACTGTAGACAATTACTATACGTAAGAAATTATAGATAAGTCAGGGCAAACATTCAAATAAACTAACTATATCTTTCAATAGTTGAATTTATGAGTCGATCTAAGCTAGACCACCACTGAAAACCTTGAAACGCTGGATGGCTGTTTCATTCTAGTATGTGACTTCTCAGTAGTGCATATTCTCGACCTCACCTCGCAAGACTAGAACCCAGAATCTTTGGTCTCGTGAGTGAAAACTTAACCTCTAGACCAATTAGCCAATATCCAAAGGTGTTATTGTCTTACTTCAATCGATGCATGATCTTGCGGTCGTTCAATGCTTCCAGGCGTTCAGTGATAATCTCCTTTAGATCAACTCATAAATTCAACTATTTAAATTACTACAATCTCTACAACCCCCCTATCCTGATAATAACCATTTCCAGTTGATTTTATTATATTTCAGTACTTGTTTCTTTCGTTCATTCATTCATTTATCAGTCTAATTTACTAGTAATTTGATTCATTTGGCGGTAAAAATAAAACTAGTCAAAAATAGTTTTTTGTTTGTTTACTTCATCTATTCAAAACATGAAATTAAATGTTTTTTTTGTTACTTTCACTCTTTACCATATTTTGTCTACTTCTCAATATCTATATCTATCTATATATATACATATAGGTACATAAATCTTTACAATATTGAAAGCATATTCATACTGATTTGCTGTTCCTTTGTTCGTTTGTTCTTGTCACTGTTAATTTATTAATTTGCATGAATGTCTATTAATATAAACAACTATAAATTACAAATTTTTTTTTAATGAGAACACAACCTTTTCATAGTCATTATATATGTATGTATTATAATGGAACTACTATATAGTGGTAATATTACATTATTACACAAAATATTATCGTCTTTTTGTTTTAGTACAGTAAAAGTAGACTTACTAACATTCATATGATCCAGTTAAAGAAATTCGAAAGACACAGATATATAGAAGAAAAAAAATATCATTATTTATATACTTTGAATATTTAATCATTTGAAATATGCTCCTATATTTTCTTTTGTCTTCTCTATTCATTTCATTATTATTATTATTATTATCATCTTGATATTTAGATCAGACAATTTGAAATATTTCAAAACTTGTACAATAGATGCAAATTTAAAACGCCCCTATTATTAAGGGGAAGAAACTAAAGATAATATATATCTATACATGCATATATAATATACATTAACTACAGGTCGGGAAAATACCACACCTAGTTTGTTTGCTGTTTTTTTCTCTCGCTTTTTTTGGTGACAACCTCTAGTGTAAGTGTCCAGACAACAAAATGTTTAACTGCTTTTATCCATATCATTATTATTATTATTGTAACGATGATGTATTACTGTTATCATTAAGAAACACTATAGAGTTTTTTTTGTTCTTTTCTAACCGTCTACTTAAATTTCCCGCTTTCGAATAGAACAATTAATTAATGTTTATATTTGGATTGAACAATAAATAAACATAAACTGAATGACAATTATTTATTATGTTTTTATATGATTACTGTTTTTTTTCTCTGTTTCTCGTTGTTGTAGTTGTTGTTGTTATACCGATAAAAGTATGTATTTCATGAGAGACATGAATATATATACTGTCAGTACTAAGCAACTGAAAGCATAGACAAATATAAATGAAACATTAGAATGGCGTCTATAAACGCGTGTATGTACGTATATATGTATGTATGTGTTTATATTGCTTTGAATGTTTGTGTGAATTAGGATTGGGTAGAAATTGTAGTAATAATAATGAGATTAACCATGTTAAGGAGATTTATTAGTTTAATAATTTATTTCATAAGGATATATGAGAGATCTGAATTTGTTATTCTGATGTCTTTCCTAACTGTCAACAGACTAAAACTTTTTTTTTTGTTTTAAAAAAATTCATTAATTTGTGATTCCAGTTAAGTAGCAAATATTCAGTAAACGTTTTGATGAAAGAAGTCACTACCTGACGTAATAGTTTTTGTTAAGTCTAAGATCTATTTGTTTAACTCTGATATAATTGATCAAAGTATGATCTCAATATAATTCAATCTATTTAAGCAAAGATGGATAGTGGCTAGTAGTGGAATCCGGTTCGATACGTGATTTGTCCTATTTTAGACTGCTCAACTGGATTTACCTGTATCTGAGTTGATGTTCACTCTGGGACTCGAACTCAGTACCATTCGCTTCAAACGCCATCACGTTATCCACTTAGCTACTGAGTTCTGAAAGATACTTGCTTGGGCAATGGGGTGAAGTTTAAATTCACTTGGCGTTGTTTTACTTGTATCTTTGCTTAAAAAGCTTGTAACTTAAGGCTATATCGAGGCAATCCACACAGGATGCACATATGCTAATATGATCCTGATCAATTGGAGTTCTAAATGACAATAGGAAGATACAAGTAAAACAAAACCAAGTGAATTTATAATTTAATCTATATTTAAAACATATGACTCCAATTTTACATTTTGAAAAAAGGTGCCTATTTCTTTGAATAACCATTGTGATTGTTCCCTTCTTGTAATTCTAAGAGATCAAAACTAATAAAATCTCTATCAAACCATAAAATCAACATAATCTAGTTTGATATTAAAAGTGGTATGTAATTATATAATGAGTTAGCCATATTATATCAGCTTCAAGTAGTCTAGTGAAATAAACACTTATTATGCAATAACTCTCAGAAATGTTTTATCTAATGAAAACAACCAGAAATTCTTTTATTATTATTTTCGTTTGTTTTGTTGTTTAAATACTTTGCATTATTTTTCTTGTTAATTTATAGCTTTCTCTTTGGGCCACCACTACTCTGTAACTGTAAATTGTATGAATATCCTTCAATTGATCACCTAAAATTAGATAACAGTATTAAGTGCCTTATCAAAAGATAACTATCACTAGATTCATTTATTTACTATGTAAAATCATAATAATTTAATGGTTATTTAAGCGTAGTGAAAACGTAATGGTTGTTAAATTTACACTATTATTATTATTGTTATTATTACTAATAATTAGGATCTGTGTATCTATGCGTGTGCAGTTGTAATCATACGTTCCATCTTAGCTTTATCATCATTTGTTATATTTTGTCTGTTTGTGTTTTTCTTTCCTAATAATAATAATAATAATAATAATAATAATAATAATAATAATAATAATAATAATAATAATAATAATAATAATAATAAGTATTATTGTTGACATCATTGTGAAATTATTTCTACGAATAGAGAATACTCCACTTCGTATTATTACAGTTATCGTCGTCGTCGTCATCATCATCATAGTCATCAAGGGTAGCAGCAGCATCAGCAATAATGTGATCACTAACCTACTGACAACCGTAACCGACATTTATGCAAATTTTCTATGTAAACAAGCACACACGGGAAATAATGTACAACATTAATTTTGGATTATTTCCCCCCTTGTGTGTCTAATATTTTAATATAAAATATGAATTATGATAAATAAAATTACTACTAACTAGTTTTGTTGAAGGGTAAGTTTTTTTCTATCGCTGATGATTAACGTCACTTCTATTTTTCTTGTATTAACTGCCAACCTATGGTTTATATGACTAAATAGACTTTGATGGTTTATTTCATACATTGTACTTAAAGGGAAATAGTTTATAACTGATGTATACAACAAGACTTTAGCTTAACTAAACAGTGAATTAGTACAATTCGTTTGTAAAATAGAATATTTATCATATCAATAATTTACAATTGAATCAGTTGTAGATTAGGTGTTTCAAATTTATTAAAAATAGGACATAAAGCAAACTTTCATTCAGCTTTTTAGTGAGTCATTCAGCTACAATGTAGGACCAGGCATATATATGCATCGGTCCAAGTTGCTATAGCATAGGAAGATGAACACCGGATTCATAGAAAAAGTTAATTCAATGGTGTTAATGTTTAGTGAGACTATAATTTGTGAAGATATTTGAACAATATTAAAGTGATCTTAAGAATGATCATCTATTTGACAAAATGAAAAAGAGTTTGTAAATTAGGATTAAGATTTAAAGTTAGATGCCGGGGTTAGGTATTAAAGTTAGGATTATCATCATGAACTGACATAAGTTATAATTCCAAAATGTTACTTAACTAAATAGATTTCGCGCCAAAAATCCCTAACTTGTTATCCTTAATTTCATTGGTTCGCTGATAAATTAAAACTCCGCCAGATTTTTTTGAAAAACTATGCTTTTCACTTATTTTCTTCTTATTATTAAAGATTTAAGAATTATAAAAATGAATATTTATATATGAGATATTATATGTCAGTGAAAGAAAAAGGCTTCGACAATTTGCTCTATTCAACATTCAGTAGTCACATTAAAGTAAATACTTAAATACAAGATTAAATGTTTAATAGATTTCGATCGTCATTACTCATTAATATGGAAGTTGTATGAATCATAGCTTCATACAAGATGATTCTCATTATTTATTTTTGTTCTATAGTCTAACATAAAATGATTATCAGTAAATTTGAATGACCGTTTACCGGTATATGTAGTTTCATTCCCAGTGATATAGAACAGATGGAATATGGTTAGCAGTAGAATTCAGGCTGCGTGTTTTATCTCGTTTGGGACTCATCAGCTGGATGCACTTACATCCCAGAGTTTTAAGTCAGAATGACACCGTTGGCTTTGAACTCCATCGAGTTGTCCATTTAGCCACTGAGTCCAGACAACTGATTATTTGTGCATTGGGTATGAATTTTAATTGAATTTGCAATGACTTGGATTATACTGTTGTTGATATTTTGATTGAAATCTGATCAGTCTTGGTTGACATATAAGGATTAGTAAAACATGATTTTAGTGTTACTAGTAAAGTACAATTTATTTTGCATGGTAAAATATAATGTACAAGTATGCTGATTAATTTAGAGACCTGGCATATTTTTATGCATTTGACATAAATATCTAATACTTGGTTGGGGTCCGCGTGACTATTTTAACCAACGTTTGGAGACTCTTGGTGACATGGCTCAGAATCAATCATAATGTCGTAGATGAATATACTCACTGTCTTCCCTTTATCTATGAGATTAAAATCGCTTCGTATCTTTCTTTCCACGAACTAATTCTTTCTTCCTGTACTATATCCTTATATACAATTTTTTTTTAATATTTTACCACCATTGAATCAACTACTTCTATGAATTCAGTGTTCATCTTGTTGTGTTAATGAGGTATGGCAACTTGGATCGATGCATATATGTGCCTGATCCTACGTTGTAGCTGACTGACTGTTGGCATTTCATTATTAAACAAACTAAAGAATGCTAATATGCAGGATATTTAAACATTAATGCCTTTCATTTAGTTATTTCAACAAGTTATCTTTCAAGTACAACTAAGTAAGATGCTCTTCATCAAAATTCAACTAATTAACACTATTGCTGTGAATTGAAGAAGACACTATTGAATCACTGTAAAACTTAGTTGATATTGAAGCACTTGCTTATTTGACCTTAACTGGTCTTCATAATATTATTAATGTCATAACAATTATATCTGGGAGAAGACTGTTTGAACTTTCTTCTACAAATACATTATAGTGTTTTTCAAAGCAAATTCATCTACCTCATTACATCATCGAAATATATATAGTATTACAAAGCAGAAATAAGGTATATTAATTTATAATTACTTAATATATGTAATTCGTACTTTCTAAAGTTTGTTCCATTCATTGTTGTGTAGTATAGCACATAGGTTCAATACACAATAAAATACGATTCTATTGAAAACAAACTACAATAAAGATTATCGAAATTTATTAGTTGAATTCATGAGTTGATCTAAACTAGACCACCATGGAAAACTCAGAAGCATTAAATGACTGTCTCGTTCTAGTATGGGACTCAAAAGTGCATATCCACGATTCCGCTTGCGGCATTCAAACCCAGAATCTTCGGCCTCAGGTTTGAACACTTAACCTTTAGACCACTAAGCCAGCATCCGACGCTGTTAATGTCTGACTTCAATTAATCCACAAAATTACTTCACCGTTCATCATTGTCTTCAGTAAGTAACTAACTCACAACAGACATGACTAAACTCCACTGATCATAGCTTCTTTCAAGAAATGACTCATGAATTCAACTACTAAATTACTAAAATCTCCAAACAAGCCTCCCTTTCTAATAAAGATTATAGACATGAATTATCAAGATATAGTTGATAGAAGAAAAATTCTATCTATATAACCAATATCGATAGAATTATTTCTTATAGTAAGTTATCATCTATTAAAATTGTATAAGCATTTTCTTTACTTCAGTATACTATTTATAGTAACCGACCATAAATTTTTATTTTGTCTAAATATCCATTATATGATGTGATTTATTTTATTCTTGAAATAAATAAAATAAAATAAAATAAAAGGGTATTTGACTGAAAATTCTTCACCTAATGATCATAGTGGTGATGATGATGATTTTAAGGCTTTCTAAATCGACCACCAGTGTAATATTTCCGTTAGTTGAAAGATTTATGATGTTTCAACTATTTTTTGGGGGGAGGTGGGAGTCTTTTTGTTTTTGATTTTGTTGTTGTTGTTGTTGCTATTTAAACTGTAACATAAGAAAAACATAAAAATCCCAGTTGAACAAAAAAATCTATCATAGTTGACCTAGTTAGTTTTAAAGATAAATGTTTATTACACTTTGTAAGTGAAAGCATAAAACTATACATATATAGATATAGATATAGATAGATATATCATTGTTATTTATTGATGCCTATAAAACTGTCATGTTTATTTTATGTAAAAAGAAAAATGGTTCATTATTGCGGCTAAGAGAAGTTGTTTTATGTGAAAAGGATAATATTAATATTATTAACAATAGTAATGTACTATATATTGAAGAATTAAAGTATTTTAGAGGGATCAGACTTGTTATATGTTAAGATTGACACTAATTATTGGTGAAAATCAATGTTAAAAGTTACATAACAGTGTTTGTTCATTTTGTTATTATCAAGTGGATTGAATAGAAATTGATATTTTACTCAGTCATTATTCTCATTAGTGACTGGCTTCAAGAGGTATTTCCTGGAGTTCTAGTGAAAAGCACTTACCAGTGCAGTTCAACCGCATTATTTGTGAGATAGTAATTCACTTAAGACAATGGTGGATGTGTCACTCAATTTCATGGGTTGGTTGAACTTAGACATTAACACAATTGGATGTCGGCCAGCTCAGTGGTGTAGAGGTTAAGCGCTCGTACGCAAGACTGAACTCGCTAAGCGTACTCGTGGATGGGCACTGTTGAGGAGTCCCACATTAGGACGAAACGGCCGTCCAGTGCTTCCAGGTTTTTCATGGTGGTCTAGTCACTATTGACTCATGATCTCAACTACTGAAATTACTATAATATCTGCAAATCCCACACAATATTACCACACTGAATTAAAATTATCAAAACAAATGTCAGAGTAATCGATGTAGTAACACTACTATTAATAGTACTGGACATTAGATATAAACAGTGTGACGAAAGGAAAAAAGAATGAATTGACGCAATGAATAAAGTAAATAAATGGTTTTAAAACTCAGGTTATAAGGGAAGCTAAAGAGCGAATACACCCGTGTCATTGTGACTGATTCTGAGTAACACATCACGATGTCTCAAAATATTGGTAGTGACAGACAAATAGATTCTAACCAAGCAGTCTGAATCATTTAGGATTGTTCAGTTCATTAGTCAACATCTTCATGTGCTGATGCTCTGTCTTGGTTTGAAAGCCGATAAATTTTCTTCAATCTATTTCTAAACTGATGAATTTCAGCTACAAAAATCAATGAATATTTACCACTTCAGCAATCAGTTTTTTAATTATACCTAGTACCTTATGTTCAACTTTATCATTGCTCACTCAACGACCTCAACACATACCAGCAATAACTCCCAGACCTCTATAATGAAATATTAATAACTTATTTGCGAAGCTACGATATGTCAATTGGAATAGATTGGACCGCTAAGAAGTGAACTCATTCTCCATTTGTCACACATTTATCACACTTAAGACAATAGATAACTCAAGTTGTCAAGCACAAACCAACTTTATCAAACGCTAACCCATTAATGTTAATAAAAGTTCCTGTTTAAATCAATCGATCATCACTATAGAAACACAAACTAATATTTTTAATGAATAAATTAAAATCAGTAAAATATCCATTAAACATTATGATAGTTATGCATAAAACATTCGATTAATGAATGAAACGTTTATTTGTCTCAAAATAAAAAGAGAGAGGGAAAGAAACAATCTCTCAAAAATCTTAGTTTCTCCAAACAAAAGGTAAACATGAAGAAGAAAGAATAAACAACAAATCATGAATATAGAGAATAATATCGAAGATGATAATGACGATGATGATGAAGAAGAAGATGAAGATGGTGTTCCTCGAATGTTATATATATCCAAAGAAAATGATTAGAGAAGATAGTAAGCAGTGTATACATGATTGACATTTATCGAAATCATAAATTATAATTATTTATTTATTAATGAATCATTTACTTTTAATAAATTAATGATTAATTCATGTATTTATTTGTAATCTAAGCTACTTATAGGTAAGTAATATCGGTATATAATGACAAATAATGGTAATCTCAGTGTTTACAATGATTATCAATGGTGGGTTGTGTTAGGAAACACGCACACATACACACACACGTACAAAAAAACACATAGTCTTTACTGTTCATTACACAAACTACTATTTTTAATTATCATTAATGTGAATATTATCAAAGATTTATATACTTGATAATGGTTTATTATAAAATATATACAAGTCAATCGAAAAGACTATAATCGATCATAAATGTGTACATTGGATTCAACCACATTTTATATAATATCTGTCTTAATATAGTTTATAATTAGAATGCAAAAGATACATGTATGAATATGAATTTAAGCATAAATCAGATATGATCAGAATGGGGTTTGTGGAAATTGTAATAATAGTTGAATTAGTTGAATTCATGAGTTGATCACGAAAGATCATCGGTCAATTGAAGTTAGACAACAACACTATTGGATGCCATTTCAGTAGTGTAGACGTTAAGTGTTCACTCGAGAGATCGAATGTCTTGATTTCGAGTCATGCATACAGGATAGAAGATACACACTACTGAATAGTCCCATACTAGGACGAGACGGCCGTCCAATGCTTCAAGGTTTTGAATGGTGATCTAACTTACATTGACTCATGAATTTAACTATCAGAAACCAGATAGACTTTTTCTTAATCATTCTCCTTGATTTTAAAAAAAATTAACTGATTAATAATGTCTACAATGAATTATAATAATTTTATGTTTTGATAAACTTATTCATTAGTTATTCGGGTATGAGCCGTACTCTAGGTATGAGGGCTAGTGATACTATTCGGTTACTCAAAACAAAGCCGGTGAAATAACAAAACCGTCTAATAAATATACTGGTCTGTGGATTTGTGGAGACTGTAGTATTTTCATAGTTGAATTTACGAGTCAATCTTAGCTGGACCACCATTCAAATCCTGGACGCACTGAATGACCGTTTCGTTCTAGTGCGAGACTACTCAGCGAAGCACATCCACGATCCCTCACATGGCATTCGAATGTAAGACCTTCAGTCTCATGCGCGAATGTTTAATCTTCAAGTTTCACGTGTGGGATCGTGGACACACTCTGTTGAGGAGTCCCATACTAGGACGACCATCTAATTACACCACAGCATAGTTTTATCTTAAATTTAAGGTTCTGTGTTGGAATCTCGCGACGGGATCGTGGATGCGGATTGTTGAAGAGTCCCATACTAGGACGAAACGGTCGTCCATTGCTTCTAGGTTTTTCAATGGTGGTCTAGTTTCAAATGACTCATAATCTCAACCATTCAAATTACTATAATATCCACAAAAACACTTTTCTGAAAATATTAACTCTAGAAATGAATAAAACAATCATTTTTTCTATTTATTTCTCCTTAAACAAATGAGTACACAAAAAACAATGGATTAAAATAAATTAAAATTGAAAAATAATTAAACTATGATTACTGATGAGAATAGGAGTTTGATATGTGATGTATGCAATCTAGTTATTTTCAACGTGTTGTTCAGAACTTGTGAAATATTGACTTGTGAGGAGTGAGCTGATTTTCGTTCTAATCGAGGATATATTGAACATATCTTCATCCTCTGTCGAATGTCAGAATACTGCCATAATTATTACAGACCAGGAGTCGTTATATTACTTGATATCAGAGTGGCCTATAATTCGTTAGATAATAGAATTCTATGGGATTGTCTGTTAAAAAATTGTTTGTCTGAGAAGTTTGTTAACATTTTAAAACTTCAAATACAAATACGTCAATGAGGGCAAGGAAATGTAACAACTTCTCTATTGTGTCATATTATTAGTGGGGTTAACTAGGGTTTCCTAATCTCACGATTCCTCTTTAAATTTACTATCGAGAGTATTCTGGATACAGATATGGAGTAAATGGTAATAATCTGCATCTGTGTACTGTAGAGAACCTTTAGAGTATTAAGTGTCCAGATAATTCCGGCCTACTAGGCAATGAGCTATGCAGTCAACATTTAAACAGTTGGTCAGTGTTCGTATAAGTGACATGCACTCATTACAAAGTACTTTTCCAAGACTGGCAAGAGCATTTGCACTTACTCTTGTCAATGAGCTGTTAGAAATAGTTTTAAAGTTTCGTATATCTGTGTAGTAATGTGGTTGCTGGTAGTACCTTAACAGATGAGACGAATCTATGTATAGTGAAACCCAAAGAGAACATGAGAATATGGGGGACTTTAGGGACAGACGTCATATTAATCTGGCTGTTTAAAAATTCGGACTTACAAGGCGTCAATGAACTTTTTTTCTATGCTTGTGAAAATTAATCTCTCTTAGTTAGGGAATTGAGACGATCCTATCTGTTTCATTATGCTTATCTCCGAAACATGGTTTACATTCGGTGGTCACTAAAAGAATCTTTGAATATCTCTTTGGTATTGTTCACTGAACTGTCGCTCCTATTATACACTGTTTTAGTTATAGGTATTTTTTTATATTAGTTTTTCTTCATTCTCTTCAAATTAAGCCTGTCTTCTTAACAATATTATCAATACTTTGTGTGTCACATTCTATTTTTTGGTGCTGTATTGCATCAGATTCTTATGCGCTTAGACAGATTAATAATACTAATGATAGTAATAATATATTTGAACTTATCTTTCAAGTTTCCATGGTATAAGTATAGCAAAGTAAATTGGCATGCTGTTATGCTAACTTTGCCTTAATCAATATGTATCAATTCAGTTAATGTAGTGACTTGGTAACATGAAAACATTTGGGTTTCAGTGATTCCCTTTAAAATATTCCCTATCTTTAGTTCGAATAGGCCTTTAGCAATCCTAACATATACATACAAAATGCTACATAAAGTCAAATTCATGTACATGTAATGGGTAACTGAGTTAAATGGGATCAGTGTTTTATGCAAACTATGGTGTTTCTGTGGTGTGAAGATGATTTTATGTATTTATATCTCGAATCATAGTGACATCAACCTACTTAACTGTACTACACTAAAGACTGAATAAACTTAGAAAAATGAAAGTAGAATAATATAAACTCATTTCATGAATTTTTCTCAACTTCTCAAACCCTAAAAACAGCAGTATTACTCATCATGACTCTAAGTAGACGGGCTTCTGACGATCATTTGTAAATGATTGTTATAATGAAAAGTTATTAGCTTGGGATCTATGATCAATTGATATTAGATGGTGTTAAAAAATGAACTTCAAATTCTATGCTAAATGATTTAAATATATGTCGGTGTAGGTTTGCTGGATTTTACTGGGATCATGAATCAAAGTTAAGAACCATCGGAAATCTGGAAGCACTAAATGTCCGTTTTGTTCTAGTATGTGACTCTTCAGAAGTGCATATCCATAACCCCTCACGCGACGATCGAACGCAGGACTTTCAGTCTCTTGCCTGAACGTTTAACCGCTAGACCAATAGACTAGCAACTACTATATATACAATAATAATGATATAAAGACTAGTGATATTCTTAGAAACAGATTATTCAAAGTTTTACCGAAAATTTAAGCGTTAGAACTCAGCTGATTGGTAAGATTTCAATAGAATAGTACTATACTGTAATCTAGAAACCAAATTTCAGACTTGATGATAGAATAGACATACATCTGGAGTCCTTCGAATTTTTAGTTTCTTAATTCATGATATCTGATTCATTATTTTTTGACACAATCCATATTTATTGATCGAATTGTTTTTGTTGTACAAATGACACGACTATTATTTCACTTTTGTGATATCTATTTATGGATAGTAAAGATCCTTATAGAAGAATATCTAAAAATGTGTTTGTTAAATATTATAATGAATCCAATAAATAGAGTGATTTATGTCACAGTGGTGTATCGGGATAAAGTCTACATACCTGTTTCCCCCCATCTTATTTCATACAAACTAGCTCATACCTTGTGTGAGTGTGCCGATTAAAAACTTCCAAGTAAATGACTAACAACCAACGTTAGATAAAACAATTGGAAGCAGAAATATGACATATTACAACAATGTAAAACATTCTGAAATATATGGTCTTGAATTGAAGTGAATACTATATGTTAAGTACAACAGATTTAAAACGTCGACTCTAAAAAGCAAAAGTTATCTTTCTCTATTTTTGTATGAATGATGCATAATTAGAAATGTAAGGTTTTATACAAGTAAAATGCGATTATTGGATCCTCGAAGAAACTGAATGATTATGATAAATTTATTTATTCAGACTGTTATTCATAAACTAAACATACACTTTGATTGACAATGAATATGTTAAGCACTTTTTAAGGATCTACTAATTTAAGAAATAAATATCATTTGAAAAGTTCATCACATGATGGGATCATCTTACTTATTTACAAATCGATACCAGATCGGTTGATAAATATTTTCAGTGATTACTAATGTAAATAATATATAAAGTCATAATTTGTGTTTTACAACTGCTATATTCTGTCAATAAAGTTACTTTTTACTATAAAACCAGTAAATATATAGTGATAAATGTATCAGTTTCACATTGTTTTAAATAGTAGATAACAAATAAAAGTATTTGTTAACATCAATAGAAAATAATTCAATAATGATGTGTGTATCCGTGTGTGTGAAAATTCCATAATGCTGTTAGTGTACAATATCAGCAGTAAACTAGGTAAGATGAATTTCATCTGAAGTATCATTTTCATGAACGTTGTAAGAATCATCTTTATCATCCATAAAATTTCATCTATTGTAAGGGAAGATAAGAAACGAAGGTCTGGAGCTGAAACCAGATTGATCGATATAGAGAGATCCCCAAGGGGAACTGGCAGACTCTGATTCCAGAACAGTGGTATTCGCCGAATTCAAAAACATGTGGGAACGAATGGTGTACGTACCAACATTTATTAATCAGGTACCAATAAAGGCCAACTCTACTGAGTTGCAGAATCGATTTCCATGTTACGGGCTCTAGCGGTTGGTCTCTAAGCAAACCACCTACTTCGTCTAAATTCCTGATTAGTGTCATGGCCTACACAAATTTTTATGTAGCATATAATATTTTTAGTGTCTAGCTGTACTAAATTCCATGAGTTAAACAAAAGTCGATTATTTTGATTCCCAAATATCGTATGATTATGACTAACATTTACACTTAATTGTGTTATAATGATTAATTCTAAAATATATTGAACATACTAAAAGTTATCAAACTTACTTTTGTCATTAATTGTGGATCAGTGAAATCTGGATTAAGATATGTATTAGTTGGATCATCACATGATTCTGACATACCGGAAATAGATGACACATGACCATCGGTTGAAGATAAACGAGGTGAACTTTGCCTTGATTTACATTGTTGTGAATCAGACATTTTAATAGAAGATCCCTGTGATGAATTTAACAAATGTTTCCTCATTTCATTAGTTGTTGATGGTGATTGAATTGGACTGTCGAATCTTGGATGACGTATTCGCATAATTTAAATCAAACGTTTCCTTTTGTTTTGAAAAAAAAATAATATAATCCGTATAAAGTTAATATGTCTGTTATTAAAATATGGATTGTTATCTTTATAAACGTAATATAACGCCAGTTGTCGTTTTAAAGACTCAAATTTTTCTCAATATACTGAAATATTCATTATTCAACAATATAAGCCAATATCAACCAATAACAGGTTGACTATGTTATAAATCATATTTTATTGCATTCTAATTGGACAATATTATGAACCAATCACATTGAAGTATTTGAAGATCATATGAATCAGATGTGCTGTATTAGTTTATTAAAACCTTAGCCATATGAACCTATTAATTATTATTATTATTATTACTTCAGATTTACACAATGAGTTAAGATAAAATGGATTAAATTTAACATTATTAATATTTTGTTTATACTTTCTTTTACGACTTTTTATGAAAAGTACAGTTCGGTAATAATTCAAACAGAGAAATCGACATTCATTTCTTACATAGAATTAAGTAATGAATTGTAATTTGTTAATTAAGTAAAATTACTTAACAATAGCACTATGACAATGTCAATTATACAATAGTTTGAGATATTCCTTAAAGAAGCATTTGAACCATACCCTACAATGCTTTAGGTAATCAAATATTATATATACAAAAAATCTAGACATTAACTAAAGAGTTTTGAAATATTGTAAGACCAAGAATAAGAATATAATTTGTCAGATATATAATAGTATTTGAGCGAGTTAACTTCGCTTGGACTCTATCTTAAACAATTGCTTGTTCTGATTCTGTATATAGGTTTGGTAACCCGACCTCGTAAAAAATGTAATTTATTACAAAATCCTAAACTATAAACTTTGCTTTGAGAGTTGAGGAGTTTTTACATAAGAGAGTTTTGAGATTTATTGACAAAAGCTAAGAGTCCTGTAAAACCACTAGGAAAGACGTTCAAGATGACAACAGAAGATAGTAAATAAAAATTGTTCTCTGAAACTACGGGTAACTTGATTCATTGTAATTTATCTAATGATGGCTATTATTAATTCTAGAATACTCTGTATTTTCATTTGGCATAAATCAGTGGTGTTCAAGATTACCTTTCTGATTTTCAACTTAAACTTTAATTAAACGTTTCAAAATCAATGAGCATTTACACTGTACTCAACAGAAATTCATTTTATTCAGTATGTATACAGATCTTTCTATATATTAAGGTACAGATTTTTGGGTGAATTGTGCGTTGTCGTTACTACGCTATTTATATACCTTAAATACTACAAATATTTAATCTGAACCACCTACCATATTCGGCTTAGGAAGCCATAATGAATTGAGTATCTTCACGTGTAAGTATTACATGTTGGGTTCATTGAATTGTTGATCAATATATTGCAAACAAACATACAGAAGCTGTGATAAGTGGAGCTGAAACATATCAATGGTTAAGAAGATGTCGACAGAAGAAAATGAAAGGTAATTGTACAATAGCATGTGTTGATTTAATTTGGAGTTGTATACCATCAGATTTCGACTGAGTGGTCTGGAGGTTAGTTAGTCACGAGCGAGACCGAGAGTCATGGGTTTAACTCCTTCACATAAGTTCGTGGATGTTTACTGCTGGGAATTCCTATAATAAAATGAGAAGTCGGTCCAGTGCTTCCGGATTTTTAATAATTGTCTCACTTACATCAGTTCATAGTAGTATCAGTACATCATATTAAGTCGCACAGAATAAACTGATGGGATAATCAAGAAATTTCGAGTAAACGAGAAATAAAATTAGTAGACAGAAAAAATAAACGTAAGGAAGAATACTCAATCTTTAGGAATGATAAATTTAAGGAGATTTGCACGATTTTAATCTAGAACTTGTGAGAAGCTTGAACTAACAAACATTTTATGCTCATTTAAACTCAGAGTATATAGACAATGCAATTAAGATGATATTCGTCTGAAAGCCAACATGTAAACATTTTCCAAATTCGACTGACTAAAAAATCTAGTGTGACCATTATTTAGTATCTAGTGCTCTCTAATGAGAATTTACTTCGTCTACTAAGAAGAAAATATAAGCCGATAAACTATTGACTAATGCCTAAGTCTTATCATGTACTTCGCAAGACCTCAAGATTTTGGGCTTGAAATTTCATGCTAATAATAAGTTTGAAAATGTCAACTAAAAACTATTCACTGCTGTGTGCTTTTCAGTGATACCTCAGTAAATTTTAGTCTCATATGTTACCAATATTCAAAATAAACAGACTTTCAGTTGATAATCCTAAATTTTATTTAAATACACTCAAGAGGATCAAATTTTATCCTATCCTAACCTAGATGTAAAATTTTTTATTATCATGAAAGTTGAACTTATACACCATCAGATCTCGATTAAGTGGTCTAAAGGTTAATTAGTCGTGAATGAGATCTAAAGTCATGGGTTTAACTCCCATATGTAAGTTCATGAATGCTTACTATATACCAATATCAACGATTATTTACATATAAAACGTTGTTTCAAAGTAATAAATTACACTATTTAATCTATACATAATATTATAGTAGTCAAAGCATGGAAATCATCACTTACAAGATTGTCTTTAATAGACATCTATGAATTTATCAAACTAATCAGCTTATAAACTGGAACTGATTACAGCATGTTATAATTAGTTGAAAATTGAAAGTTAATAATTCATCGATGTCATTAATATTAAGCATCTATTTACTTTGCTAAAGCAATATATATATTCTGAAGACGTGGGGAAATAACGAAACACGCAGAAAGAAATATTCTTCTTCTTGTTTTAATCATTGAAAGTATGGAAATTTATGATTCATACATATTGAACTTTTTAGTATTAATTTTTATCAGATTAAAAAAATGTATCTCTTTCAGTTTCTCTGTATGCCCCTCTCTTTCACTCACTCACTCACTCACTTTATTCCTAATCTCTTATTCCAATGTGTCTTATTCTACTCATATTTTTCGTTAATTCTGTTGATTTCTTTACTCTGTATATAATGTACTCATGAAATAACAACATATATGTATGTATGTGTATATGATTTACGTTGTTTGTAGATTATGATATACATATACATAATGTGTACTACTTATTTTAGCATATATACACATTAAAACTGAAGTCCACATATCATTTTATGACAGACTGACAGTTTTTCTTTTGATCTAAGATGAATTTCTAAACGCCACGTTTCATATTTATTTACTATGACTTGTAATGTTCTTCTTTCATTCTAAAATGTCTATTGAGACAGTTTTGACAATTTGGTTAATAGAAAAATTAAATGATGTAGGTTAGTGTTTATGCCATGTGGTATATATATATATATATATATATATATATATGTTTGTCTTAAACTATACGTACAATCAACAGATTTCGGTCAAAACACGGTTTAGAAACTATGTTAGGATATTCAAACGTAAAACATTAGGCAAAGATATGTAGATATTTATATATTGTTGGAAATACTCCAGTATTCTTTTCCATGAATGTGTTTATTATCAGATCTAAACTTCAAATGGTATTTTCTAATACTTGTAAAAGATTCTAATAGATATTTTAAAAGAAATATAACATTAAATCAAATGATGATACCAGTTGTCATTTATTTGATTGAAGTATAATTCAATAAATAATAGAGTTTTATAATATATAACATTTATGAAAGTTAGTATTCATCATTGATAAATAGAATGTGCAAATCACCGGCTTTCATATGCTTGCAAAATGTTAAAACTGAGTTTATTTATGGTACTGGAATGTATTTAGATATATGTGATATCTGTTAGAAGCAAACTCTTAAATGTTTCATATTTAGTTAGTATAGGGGATTTAGAGTGATTGTTAAATTGTTGTTTTTTTACAGTTTAAATCACGAACTAATCTTATCTAGGTTATCATTGAAAATCTGGAAGTACTGGATGACTGTTTTGTTCTAGTACGGTGATTCTCAGAAGAGTGTATTCATGGTTCTGTACGTGGGGACTGAACCTTGGATATTCTTCCTCACATAAGAATGCTTAAACTCTTGATAGTTTTCGAAATTATCGTGTAAAATAATACTAATGGTAATTTAAAGTGAAAGAATGGATAACAGGATGCATTCATTCAGTCGTCTTAAAATTAAAATTAATACTAAGACTATGTAGCAAATCGATATGAAGTTTGTATTATTTGATCTTGTTAACAAAGTATATCTGTGGTTCTAACGAAACTAGATATCGCTTCCATAGAATTTATACACACTTGTATCACTGATTGTCATACACAGAAATGTTACCAATAAACTATTTTGATTACAATAGACCTAAGATATTTAACTATCAGCTCTACTAGCATGTTATCAACCTCTCAGTACTAACTGAATTAGGTCGATCTAATTTCAGTTCAGCAGTTAAATTTCAATATTTCTCAATGTAGTTAATAGAAGAAATTCGACCGTCAATAGGATCATGAATAAATAAAGCTTTTTTTAAAAAAAACCCAAGTTGAACTTGTGGAGACAGGCCTGACAAGCTTATTTTGTAAATAGTTTTTAATATTATTTGTATTTATTCTGTCAATCTTTCACTGTCTGTATATTTTATCATTAAATGATTGTACCTGTTGTTTTAGTAAGTGACCTTGAACACACTTTCCGTTGTGATACTGACACAGCGTGACATACTCTTGCTGGCTAACAAATACACTACTACTCACACATTCCTCGTTCTATCTTCGCTTGTGATTGAGTTAACTGAAGTCTAAATCAAATACTATCTACGTTTATAGACTGTAATTGGAATATACCACATCCTATGTTGGATTATATCACTGGAGAGTTCGTCAACCAGATCGAAATTACCAAGCATTTATAATTGTGGTTTCTTAGTACCCAGACCAAAGCCGAACACGCATCAATTTGGTGAGCCTCGTGTTTATCCTAACTGTTATATATATTAACATTTCTATTGATCTTTATTAACTTTGTTGATACATTTTGCGTTTATATATCGTCTGGTCCACCACAAACTAAATAGCTTTTCTGTTTAATAAAAACGTCAAATGCAATCAGTTTCTTATGTCAGTAAACGGATACAAACAATGGACAATAATTATTGACAAAGAAAAGATATATATAAGTGGACTTAAGTAGAATATTTGT